GAAGCCAAGACAGGAGGATTGCTTGAAGACAGGAGTTCAAGGTCAGCCTGGGTTACACAGTGAGATGCCTCCCCCCAGCCCCTCTCTACAAAACATTTTAAAAATTAGCCAGGTGTGGTGGCACACGCCTATAACCCTAGCTACTCGAGAAGTTGAAGCGGGGGGATCACTTGAGGCCAGGAGTTCGAGGCCTCAGTGAGCTACGTTTGTGCCACAGTAGTCTAGTCTGGGTGACAGGGCAGAAACGCCTCTAAAAAATAAATGAATAAAATAAACAGAGAGGTCAAGGTGGGCCTCCTCTAGGACATAATAGTCAAGCAAAGACTGAACAGTGTGAGGGAGTGAGCCAAGCAGACATGTGGGGAGCGCATTCCAGGCGGCTCCAAGGTGGGAGTGTGCCGGTGTGACCTTGGTCGGCAAGGAGACCAGCAAGGTGGGCAGAGCAAGCAAGGGGGAGGAGCCAGAGAAGCAACTGGGGATGGAGCATACCCCACAGATGGCACTGAGATTAACCCTCCCCAGAGAGAGGAAGCCAGCACTTTTTCCACCGGCCTTATCTGATGCTGTGGTCACAAGAGCCAGCGAGGCAGGCGTGAGGGCTGCACGGCTCGGCACATCCGAGGAACCTCAGAGAGGCCTCGGCGCAGCTGACATCCGCTCGGCCTGCGGCTTCTTCCTGTGGCTTCCGCATCTCAGGTGGCCCCACTGGCTGCTATTTTTGCTTCTGTCTGGGGTTCTACGGAGGGCTTCTCTGTGTAGGGTTGGGTTTGCTCAGCTCAGAGCAAATGGGAGGGGCTGGCTAAACATTCCAAGTGACCTTGGGGACACTGGCTGTCCAGTAAGTGGGAAAAGGAAATTTGTCATCACGTCAATCCTCATGAGCCCCCCCCCCAATACAGAGAGGTTAGGTGGCATGCCCCACGTTGCACAGCCAAATCTAACCACAGACTAAGGATCCTATTCCAGTCTGTCTAGGTCTGAAGGCCCCTAATTTGCAAGGAGGTCTTTGTATTTACTGCCAAATTTAATATTTCCCAAGCAGATACTCTGCACTCTCCAGCCTTCCAGAAGGTGCGAGAATAAAGGTGCATCATCTTGGGTAATGTCCTCCCATAGTCCTCCCCACCTGTGCATCACAGAATGGGTGGGAAGGACTATGGCTGCAGTGGGCACAGGAAAGGGACTCCTAACTCAGACGGTTGGCAGTGGGCCGAGGGGGCAATCCTAGAAGGCTTCTGGAAAGCCGTGATGTCATGACCATGCCTGCGAGAATAAGCAAGAGTTCCCGGGGTAAAAGAAACACATTTAGGATGAAGGGATCTGAATCTATAAAACCAAACAGCATGACAGACAGCTTGGTCTTTGGGACAGGGACTTAGGAAGGAGCAGGGCGGTGACTCTGGAGGAGTCAAGCTGGCTTGTGGACTGCAAAAAGTGAGAGTGGACAAGTGGCCTGCCCCAAGGCAGGCATAGGAAGGGGACAGGAACGGAGCCAGCAGGTCACAGAAGGCTTTAAGCAGAGGAGGGATGTGCATATCAGGGTGTTCACGGAGATCCCAAGAGTCTAAAGGGGGAAGGGTGGAGGCAGGGAGGCCTGGGAGCAGGCTGTTGAAGTCCCTCAGGTGACACCCCAAATGTATGGCCAGCAGCATATGTAGGTGGGTTAGAGGCAGGGAATGAGGCAGACTAGGGGGCAAGGATGACTCCAGATCAATGGCCTAAGCCACGGAGAGACAGCCACATTCCCTAAGATGGATGCAAAGGGGAGGGGCGTGTCTGGGAGGAAGGAGGTATGGACCAGAAGAGGGTAATTTGGAGCCACCATCTCCTTCCAGACGAGCCCTCTGGGGGTGAGGACATGCAAGTCAAAACTGCCTTCTATTAGCTGGGCATGGTGGCAGACACCTGTAGTCCCAGCTCCTTCAAAGGCTGGGCGGGAAGGATCGCCGGAGCCCAGCAGGTCGAGGCTGTGGTGGCCGTGCGCATGCCACTGCACTCCAGCCTGGGCGACAGAGTGAAACTCCAACTCAAAAAAAAAAAAAAAAAAAAAACTGGCTTCTACACTCACCTCCCTTCCCCATGATTTATTAAGGGGTGCTGCTCCCAGGGCCTCGAGTGTTCCTCACAGCAAGGAAGACCCAGAGATGACAAGTGAGCCACCTCAAGTTTCACAGCTAGAAATCAAGAGAGTGAAGACAGAAAATCCAGGCCCATCCAATCCCTACACCAGTGCTCATCTCCACAGACACCCAACAGCTGGAGGTCCACGACCCTCTCTGGAAAATGGCTTCCCTGGGCCTGGGAGAAGCTAGAGACTCTGTTCCCTAGCTATGATGTTCCAGGCTATCCTTTGCGACTATCCACACATGTGAATACCTGCCAGGCCCCCTGGTTGGACAGAGGTGGTGCGTCTCAGCCTGGTAGGTGTCACAGAGGCTGCCCCCACTGGGCCCGAGCTGCCTCCTGGGGAGACCCTGCCTCCCTGCCTCTGCTCCCAATTCCATTAATGACTAGTTTGTGAATGCACAGGACAACAGGGTAAAGAGTCACATGGACGTTGCCAGCGACGGAGAGGAAATTAATTTCATACATGAAGCATTCCCTCCCGGAGGCTCCTTACTCACCCCTGGTTTCCGATACAGTAGAATAGTAGAGGTTGGGGGGCTGGCCTGAATTATTTTTCTGAGAGAATCAGAGGCCCAAAGAGGATGAAGAAATTGCCTGAGATCACAGAGTAATTACATGACAGCAGAAAGAGCTTTATAACTCAGGCTTCCCACTCCTGGGCACCTCCATTCTTCCTGTAAATGTTCAGGGGGCGCCTGCTTGGTTTCAGCCCCTGAGTGCCAGCAGACACCCTGGCCCCAGTCATAAAGCTCCCCAGGGCCCCTTCCCTTCCCAGGAAGGGAGAGCGAGAGCGTTTTTATTTACCAAACACCAACAGCATGCTTTAAATATCTTATCCCATATGATTACAATCCACCATCTTGTAGACAAGGAAACCCCAGCTCAGAGAAGTAAGGTGACCTGCCTGAGGTAACACAGCAAGCAAAAACCAGAGCCATGGCTCAAAGCGAGGTCTTAAACCTGAGTTGAGTTTCTGTTCTTCGGGCAGGAAGTTGGGGATAAGGGCTGCGATTCTCCAGTCACACTTCACCTTCCAAGACCACGCTCTCCTTTCCAAGCCCTACCTGCCCAGACTGTACTCTTGGCAAACAGGTTCTCAGGTGGCAGTCAGAACATTCACTGGGTGGCTGTTCTCCCAAGGCCCCATCAACACAAGGCTGATGACTGGTATTCCACAAATTGTTCAGGAAGTATTAAAACTAAAAGAATCAGTTCTGCTTCAAGATGACCTGTCAGTCCCTGCAATAAACACCTGCCCCAGTCTGGAGCCCATGGAAGTGACCATGGACACAAAGAATTCCTATCAGCCAGGGCTGTGACACAGATATGGTCCTGCACTCGAGCTCCCCAAACAGAACCCAGAGGCTCAGATTTCAGGCACAAGGGGAGAGCTCCTGGGTCATACGCACACATGCACACAACCACATGCCCCTGCGCGAGCCAAGTCCTTCTCATGAGCTGAGCCGAGGCCCTGGTCATTTGTCCATCCATTCATTCACCGTTGATGGAGGCCCTTCGACATACCAGGCAGAACAAGAGGCAGTGGGTATGTGCACGTGTGTATACATACATACAGAAACACATACACACACACACAACCATCACAACATGGGGCAGTGAGTGTCAGGGTCCCCATGTCATGGATGAAGAGATGGAGACTGGAGAGGCCCAAGGAGCTGGCCCTGTGTCACAGATGGCATCTGCGGCAGAGCTGAGATTTGAAAGCAGCACCTAGCCCAGATCCCGGTACACAGCAGGCGCTCCATCGCTATCTCCTTCACATCCGGCTGGCTCCGATAGCTTCCCTGGCAGACCCAGGCCCGCTGCTTCTGGCTTGCTTTCAGACCCACTGTGGAGCGTGTGGAAGCCGTCCCAGGAGGCACAGACGCTGCTGCCTCTTGATCTCTCTCAGTTCACCCGGGATACTCCCAACGAGGGAAAGCAGACCTGAACAAGAGGCTTCTGTTTCTAAGACCCACGTGCACAAAACTAGATTTTCAACGACTGTGATAAATCAGAGCACAGGAGGCAGTGGCCTAGGTAGGCTGGACGCAGCGCTATCACAGCAGGGAGCCCCGCCCCTGGCTCCCACCACCAGGCCGGCCTCCCGGGCACAGCAGGGACGGCCGTCCACCACAGATTTCTGCATTCAAAATCTCTGCCCCACATTATGTGCATGTGTTTGCCTTTAAACCTATGACCAGGACCTTCCTCATTTGCTGCTTTCCATTCTTCTACAAAAGTATGGCACAGGGAGATCCCAGTGGGTTATTTTTCAGTATCCTTACTTGACAAAAGCAAAAGTGACTTTCATTAAATTCGGAGAGGAATTACTATTGAGTCCCCAACCTCCAATGGAAGGGGCAGTGCAGACTGATCCTGGTGACATCCTGGCTACTCCTCGCCTATCCTGCCTTCTTAGAAGGCCCTTCTCAGTCCCCAGCCCAGGCATCTCTGGGCTCCTCCCATGCCCTGAGCTGGCCCCATCACTGCTCGAAGTTGTCTAGTTTGAGTCAGCCAGACCCCCACCCACACCTGGCTAGACCCACTGCTGGCTGTGTCGGATGGAGAGATGGAGGGATGGATGGATGGGTGGGCAGACAGATGTTGCCTGGGCACCTACAGTGCTCTGGGCACCAAGACCACGGCCTGACCCTGCTCCTCAGAGGCCAACCCAAACTACCCCCAGAATTCCTTCTCAAGAAGGAGCTGCCAAGAGCAGACCTCCTGGAACCTCTACAGCATCTTCATTCCAAAGCGTGACAGGCACCGGTCCAGGTCCCTGCCTGCCCCCACCCGGGCATCGCCTGTCCTCAGCCCGCAGCGACAGCCTGGCCATCTCTACCCCACGAGGCAGCAGCCCCACTGCTTACCTTCTTGGAAACACACCTGCAATGCACCAGTGTCTCGCAATAGAAGGAGCCCGAGTCTCATTCCACAGAAGCCCAGGCAGCGAGAGAACGCGCCCGCGACAGCCTCTGTGCGATTCTGCTGCATAATCAGCAGAGAAAGAGAAAAAATGCCAGAAATAGCAAGCTTTCTAAGCCCTCCTGACAACTCTTGGTCCTCTATTGGCTGGAGGCCCAGCACCCCCACCCCCCATCCCGCTCCTATAAGGTAAAATGGAAAAACCTGTTATTTCACCTCTTTTATCAAAATCCATCTCCTGTCCCCATTTGGGCCTGCGTGTTTGGAGCTCCTGGTAGTGGTCTCCATGCCAGGTCTCGGGGAGCAGAAGGGGAGGCAGCCCCTAGACCCAGCGCAGCCTCGCGGCATTTGTGGCTCCAGAGCCCTGCCCGCTTGCGCTGCCTTGGGAGGGGTGTTGCCCTGGAAGGGCCTTCGTGAGACAATTTGGCAGCACCTGTCAACATGTGAGACTTGCATGCCTTTCCGTCGGCAATTACACCCTGAGCATCCATCCTGCAGAAATACCTGGCCTCAATGTGTGGATGCGTGCCAGGGGCTGGGACTTGCTACAGAGAATTAGAGACGGCAAAGTGTCTGAAGCCAGGGTCTGGCTGAATAAGCTGCAATACATCCAGTGGAACGCGGTGGAAGCAGGAAAGTTGGGGGTGCTGACTTGGAACTGCCTGGGAGAAAAGTCAAGGACACGGTCTCATTCTTATAAAAATAATAACTCGTGTGTGTGTGTGTGTGTGTGTGTGTGTGTGTGTGTGTGTGTGTGTGTGTGTGTGTACGCACTATAAAAGATACCAAGCTGCTAACAGTGGTTACACTAGGGAGAAGAGGAATTTTCAGTTGCTGGGTTTTTTTTTCTTGCTTCATTTTTTCCCTTACCACAAGCAGGTATTACATTTGTCATTTCAAACAAAACACAGGAGTCTCCCTGGCTCCCTACCGCCCCACCTCCCAACCCTGTTCAACTCCTCTGAAGCCAGCAGGCCAAGGGCCAAGGTCACCCAGCACAAGCCTCAATCCGGCTTGGGGCAGTGTTGGCCCGAGGCCCTACGGATTCCCCAGCAGTTTCATCAGCTTTGCCATAAATGCTTACGTTAGGGCTCCGTGAAGAATGAGGATTTAGGAAAAAGACAGAACTGCATTCAAATCCTAGCTCTGCCTGCTGGAATAGCTAACTTCTCTGAGCCTCAGTTTCTTCATGGGGACGATAGTACCTACTAAGTCTCATATACTCTGCTGGGTGCTACTAAACTAATTTCAATTTTTGGGACATTTCAGAAGCAACAAAGGCTGCTGAGGAGACGTCACGGAGCTCAGAGAGTATCCAACACTGAGCGAGAAGAGTTCTGGGGAACTGCATTACCAAACACTTGTCACAATAAAAAGCCAAGTGACAGAGAAGGCCCTGAGGAACAGCAAATGTCATGTGATAAAGGGGGCCAATGCCAGTGTGTCTGGAGGAGGAAGAAGCCTGGTAGAAGGGGAGACTAGAAAAGGCTCGCAAGTGGGGCTCGGTGGCTCTGCCTGTAATCCCAGCGCTTTGGGAGGCCGAGGTGAGTGGACTGCCTGAGCCCGCGGGTTCGAGACCCGCCTGGGCAGGCGAGATCTCACCTCTACAATAAAAAAAATCAAAAAATTAGCCGGACGAGGTAGCGCGCGCCTGTAATTCCGGCTACTTGGAAGGCTGAGGCGAAGGATCGCCGGAGCCCAGCAGGTGGAGGCTGCGGTGGCCGGGAGCAGCCACTGCACTCCAGTCTGGGTGACAGAGTGAGACTCCAACTCAAAAAAGAAAAGAAAAGGCTCACAAAGGAAGAAGTTGTGCTTCCTTCCGTGCCCCTGAGCCTTCCTCATGCTGTTCCCTCTTCCTGGAATGCTCTTCCCCATACCTTCACACAGGTGACTTCACATTCCTCCAGCTCTGCTCAGAGAGCTCCTTCCTCCCTGACAGGGCTCCCTGCTCTCACCTGCACCTGAATTACCATCTCACAGCACAGTTGTCATTTAAAACAAAACACTGCCTATGGTTTCTGCTTGTTTGTGTGGATGGGTTTTGTTTCTCTGTTTATTGTTCGTCTTCCTCACTGGGCTCTGAGCTCCTTGATGGTGGAGACCACCTACCTTGCTTATCTCTGGCTCCCAGCTGCTAGTACAGGGCCCGACACACAGTAGGTACTCAACAAATAGAAAACGTACACACAATTCACAGATCAAAGGCACACGAAGCTGTCAGAAAGAAAGCAAGATGCAGATTTTGCACCATTGTACAAAGAAGGATGGAAACTGCAGTCATACTGAAGATTTAGAAATACAGAGCGGTAAGGATGCAAGAAGAATATCCATGACTACTTACATAAGCTTAGGAGGGGACAGAATTTTCAAGGCCCAAATTTGTGTGGACAAGGATGTTTAGTGCATTGTTATTTATAAAGAACTGGAAATGATAGTAAAGTCCATTGATAGGGGATTCATTAGATGAATCATGGTGCTCCATACAACGAACTACTATGCAGTCATGAAAAAAATGACAGGCTGCAGAAAGAAGCCCATCTTCCTTGTTGAATGTCAACTCGCTTATCAGAAACCAGAGGCTCCAATAGGATAAAAGTATAACTGATTGTCACAGAGAAAGCACGAAGGTAAAAATCCTTCCATTATCGTTCATTCATTCACTCATTCATTCACTCAACAAGCATCTTCTGTTCCCTCTCCCTGCTTCCCACTCCATGCAAGTCACAGATCCAGACGCTGGAGCAATATGTGAACAGGATACTGTCCTGTCCTCAGAGGCACCTGGCTCACACATGTAGGTAAGTAATTATGACCTAAGGGAGACAGTGCTCAGACCTGAGGGCCTCAGGGTGGTCAGCTGAGTGAGGGCTTCATGGAAAAGGTGTTACTTTAGCTGGATTTGAAGAAGGGGCAGAGTTTGGGTATCCAGAGATGGAAGGAAGCGTTTCAAGACACAGAAGTGGGACCTGGGACAAGAACAGAAAGTCCCTGCATTCTCCATCAAACATGGGCTGAACTCACTGTTCATCTGCAGGAAAGGGAGTTTATAGGAGCTAAGCCCGGGTCCAGAAGACTCCAGACTTGATCCTGCCACATGTGCTGGAGGAGGCATTCTGGGGCCGTGGCCATACTGTCCATGGGTGTACAGGTGAGGAAGAGGCTCCTGATCCTGAGAGCACCAGCCCCCAGAGCAGGCAGGGCTGGATAACTGAGGATCAGCAAAGCAAACCCCAGTGTGTGGGAACCCCTCCAGACACAGTGCTCTTTGCTTTGCAATAAACATCCAGGGTGAGGGTATCCAGTGCAGGTTGAAGGCGGGGAGGGTTCATCTCTGCAGACCCTCTACAGAGGGGTAGAGCCTTGGAGGGCCCTTGCACCGTGAGGGAACTCAGCGTTTTTAGTTTTATTTTTATTTTTCAGATTCTGAGGCAGCGTTGATGGTTACGGTTCAAAACAAAGAGAGATGACTCAGCTTCCTGTGGAGGAGCTGCAGCCTTCTGGAAAAGATATTTCTGTTTTCATGCTTTGCTCGTCGGTCATGGAGGCTGCTTGTCCTCTTGCTTGTTTTCTTGTTTTTCAACTGTTCCCAGGTGCGGGGGTGTGGAGCAGGGAGAACAGTCAGGCTCTGGGGCCAGAATGCCTGGGTTTGACTCCTGCCCTTACCCTTGACTTGTCCAGAGAACCTGGACAAAATTATGTCTTCTCTGAGCCTCTGTTTACTCATCTTAAGATGAGAATAACAGTTTCTTCTTGGCGGAGTTATTGTGCAAAGCAGCCATCACCTATAGAAAGGGTCTGATTCAGTCCATAAATATCCTGTTAGTATCAATAGCCACCATGCTGCAGTTTGGCAGTGCCTCAATTATCTCATTTAATTCTCACACCTGCACAGCAGACGCCCCCATTTTACAGATGAGGAAACTGAGGCTCAAAGCCATCAGTGACTTGAATTTCCCTCTTCCCATTCCTGAGGGTCAGTGCACACAGCCCAGCCAACTTCCTGTTGGATCTTAGACGCTTTCTCCTCTGACCCTTCCTGCACCAGCAAGTGCACCTCAGCCCCTTACTGTCTTCATCTCAAAAGATATTCTGAGACTGTTGAGATATTCTAGCCAAAGCTTAATAAAAACAGTTCCACGAAGGACTCAGGAACCTTCCACCACATCCCATCATTTCTTCCTCTGGAGCCAGGAGGCATCAACAAAGAGCCAACATTTCCTGTGCAACCTCCCAAGGAGAGGCACAAACTGGAAACCCCTTCACAAGTCCAGAGAAAGCACCACAGCTGAGAAAGAGGGTGGGGCTCACGCAAATAAAAGCACAGGACTTTCAAATGACCTGTCACCCACACAGCTCCCCCACACCATGACATTAACACTGACTCTCTCAAGCCCATTGTCCTAGGTCTCATATTTTTTAAAAGCCCGACACAGGTGAACACAAGGTCACCTGCAGCAGCGGCGACCCAAGTCTCCACCCCCTTCCCTGCATCACCCCAAGCCTTCACTGACAGAGCAGCCTTAATAGTAACTGACTCATTTTAAACCCTGTGATTACCAGGGTTGATTTCCATGGAACCTTCCTTTCAAGGCACCAAGAACCACTCATGAGAGGTAATTGCCAAGTTCAATTTTAGCTCTGTCATGCCCAACCATCAGTGCTAACGAAGGCGGCTGCTTCGTCGCCAGGTAAGCTGGTAATGAAGTCGGCTTCACAGCTTAACTTCACAATATTATGATGCCCCCATCAGCACCTAAAAGTTCTGAGCAGCTGGGAACTTCTATTAAACAAATCTCCCCTGGGGGGGGAAAGAGACTCAAGCCGCTTTGCACTTCTAAAGTGCCCTAGCTCAGTCCTCATGCCCACTGGGATGTCCTGGTTGCTGAATCCCATGTGCCTCCTCTCTGCAAAGCACTAGCCACCACCGGGCCATGCCGCACACCTGAGGGTGCCTGATCTCAGACTTCCTCATCCTTTGCAGTCCCCTCTCATTCCCCTCCATCCCTGCAATCCTGGCCAGACTCTCACCCCTCTGCCCTGGATCTCCATAGCAACCTCTTGGCTCACCCTCTACCCTCTCCCATTCATTTTCCAGGCCAATCAGTAGAGTTTTCTTGTCTAAAAAAAAAAAACTTGCCAGGTGCGATGGCATGTGCCTGTAATCCCAGCTACTCAGGAAGCTGAAGTGGAAGGATCACTTGAGGCCAGGAGTCTAAAACCAGACGAGTAACATAGCAAGATCCTCTCTCTACAAAAAAATAAAATAAATTAGCTGG